TTTTGCCAGTTTGTATTCCAGTAGAGTTTTTCTAATGGTTCAGGTTGAAAGTCTGTTAATCAAGGTTTGGCTTATGGTTAATCAGAACTTTCTCTATTTAAGAAATTTTGTTAGGTTTTTTGTTTGGCAGGAGAACTGTATTCAATCCTGACATAAATTCAAAGTAAATGGATAAAGTTTTGTATAAAAATAGTTTTGTTTATTCATAATGTTTCGGTTTGTGTTTTGTTTTTGTTTTGGTCTCTGAATAATCGAAATAAATTGTTAATTATTAATTGCTAATTTGTACATTAAAAAATAAGTCGCAAGTAGCATTTATTATTGCATATTTAAAGGCGCCGCTCGCCCGTTTTGCTGCCCTGCCAAAAACTTGCAATAATCAATGAATCGTGCAACAAAAGGCAATTACGCTACAAGTTTAATATTGGTTAACTGGTTTCTGTTATCTTGATTTTGTGCTTGTTTCACACATATTGTTTTTAGGCAAATTGATTAAAGAGTTCAAGTTTTGCTTAACATAAGTATATTGTTTTGGTTTTCGAATACCCTACTCTTTGTGAGTGAGCATGAACAACAATTTGTCTAAATAATAGTGTCAATTGTCATAAGGTCCTAAGCTTTTAACGCAAGCTACTGGCTATGGATGCAAACAATTCAATTAAGTAACTAAATTAGCACAGGCATTTGAAAGAAATTCACATATTCGATTAGCATGACAGCGCCATCTAGTGACGCGCGTTTGCAACAGGCTGCTTTCTGTCGCCAGATGGCGCTAACGCCGCTTGCTAATCGAATCGATTGCACATAATAAGCGTTACACATTCAATTAGCATATAAGAGTGTCTATATATATATATATATACGCATATATAGGTAGTTTACATATCTGTAGATATATTGCATATCAATCAAATTTCATGTGATTATATATGTATGGCAAATAGCGCTGAACTGCAATTTGTTATGTTACATGCATACATATATAACTCGTTAGTTTATCTTATTCTATATTACGCTTATACATATACATTATGCATATATCATTTGAGATTATAAATCGATAAAGTATTTTGAAACTAGGGCTAATGATTTAGCAACGTTTTTATATCGGGCTACATATCATTTACATATATGTATATATATATATTTATATTATTTATATATGTGTGTATATATATAACTATATGTACGTGTAAACACTATCTTCAGACTTAAAAATGGAGTTGTTATTGGTGTAATTAGTTTAGAATTAAATGTTGTATTATTGTTGATGGCGTTTGTGTTGCTTTTGTTTTGGGCGTGGCATAAGGCTGGCATCTAATCAAAGAACGCAATTGGGGACAGTCGACTATATACTCGCATACATAGATTAATATTTATAAATGTATACATAATTTTACATATATATATATATATATATATCGCGTTATTCATTAGCTTTAACATTGGGCCAATCGTACAAGTATGAATAAGGTTAACTTTTCACGCAGTTTGAACTTCTTCTATTCACGCTATATTTAAGGCAAGTCGCACAAGTCAGGGGTTGCATCTAACTCTGGTATATATAATGTTCTTACAAATACACATTTATATATGTATAATATAATTTGATGACTAAATACCATATATTATATATGCACAAATATATATATATATATATATTTGAGTTACATGTAGAAATCATACATATCATACATATGTGCCTTTAAGTTAATTGCAAATCTCTGTGGCGCGCTTATTCCATGACAATATGGAATTCAGTCGGGTTATATTTAAAGCTGATATTGCAGATTTACATATTGTTTGGATTTGGTGAGTACAACAACACATCGACACAGACGGGCATATCGGTTGACATTTAAGAACTTATCCACATTTGATGCAGAGGGACATAGAGTCCCAGCCTGGGATCAGATCAGCATAAAGCAGATGTGTCAAGTGTGTGTTAATCCATTAACCCGCCTCTATCGTGCGTGTGTGTGTGTGTGTGTGTGTGTTTGGGTCTGCGTGTGGGTCTTGCTCTAATCCACGCATGCTTGAGGTATCAATGTACTTAAAAACTGTCTGCCATCCCACTCGCATCCGCTATTGCCGTCTCGTTTCTTTCAGAGACGGTACTCGTAGTGCGCGGAACGTGAACGCCGCGCACCCGAGTACCAGCGATATGGCACCCGCTGCTGATGCAACGCCAGGCCCAGAGCCAGACCGGTGGCGCCACCGGCGCTGCCGATATCCGCCCCGGGACTGCGCGCCAACTGCAGCGTCAGCGCCAGACGCGCCTGCTAGGAGGATGATGAGGCGGATGGCGATGGTGTGCTGGCGCTAGATGTGTGTCGATGCCGTCGTTGATGCTGCTGCTGCTGCTGCTGCTGCTGCTGCTGCTGTTGGGGCAACTGTGTCACCCCCGGCGATGTCATGCGCCTGGCCAACATGCCAACGGGCAGTGTATTGGCATCCAAATAAGCCTCCGGGCTGAATCGCACGCGACTGTGCTGTGACCCTATGGACCCCTCCTTGGCACTCAAATACGAGCTGTCGTCGCTGGTCAGCGAATCGGGCGGCGTTGGATTTGTGGGCGTGCCCTGCTGTGACGAGATGCTGCCATTAAGCGTGCTGCTGTTGTACTTCTTGAGCGAGCTGCGCAGCTTGCCCTGGCTAATCGCCACTGGCTGCGGCGCCAGCGTCGGGTGCTGTTGTTGTTGTTGTTGCTGCTGCTGCTGCAACTGATAGGTAAGCGTGTGCTGCTCGAAGGGCAAGCTGGCGGGACGTGTAACAGGTGCATATTTGCTGGTGGCCAGCGGGCTGTGCAGCATACGATTGATTAGCTTGGGCGAGCCGGCGTAGAACTCCTGTTTGGTGGGCGTCACCGTTGCGATTTGTGTCGCTGGCACCGGCGGTTCGCAATCATATTCCATATTGAGATTAACATTTAAATTGAGATTGTTGTAATCGTAGAGCAGCTCCTCGTGCTCCAGCAGCACGCTCGAGTTGTTTGACACAGTTGAGGGCGTTCGCCGATGGCCCCCAGCACTGACGCCCATTTGGGGTACGCGCGGCGGCGGCGTGCGCGTTTGAAGCGGCGGCAATGCTGCCACCGCCGGCACCTGCACTGGCATCGGCAACGGAACCGGCACTGGCACCGGCACCGGCACCACTGGCGCCTCATATTGATAGTCATAGTAATCGGGCAGCCGATGATTGTAGTCGTACGAATAGTCCGGATACGATTTGCAATCGCGCTCATATGCGAAATTCAGCTCTGGTCGATACGGAAAATAATTGGAACCTGCAAACAAAACGAGCAAACGCATCAGCTTGTGTGTGGTGTGCTCAAGATTGAAAGTGTGCCGCCTACCAAAATAGCCATTACGATAGGCGCCGCCATCATTGGAGTAGCTGGGCCCGTTGCGCAGATAATCGGCCGGAGCATATAGCGGCGGTGGTCCAATACCTCCGCCCACGCGAAACTCCTCAAAGACGTCGGCATTGTTGCAGCTGCTGCTGCTGAGCTTGCGGCGCGGCGACGGCGTCGGCGGCTGTGAGCCTGCATAAAGCATTGCCACGGCCTGTGGCTGAGGTGCACCGACGCCTGGTGCAGCCGACGCCTGGTGCAGCTGATGCTGTGGCGTGCGCTGCACGGGCGTATAGTAAGTTTGACTGCCACCCACGCGACGCTGTGCCACTGACTGCGGCTTGGGCGTGGCCACGGACGTGTCCAGCGGCGAATAGCTGCAGTGACAAGGAGTTGCATTAGAGAGACGAAAATAAAAAGCATGATAGGAAAGCATATTTTATATACGCATATATTTGACTTACCGCACAGCATTATGCTTGTTGGCCAGCTGATGGGCCGCCTCCAGCTGCTGTTCGCTTTGGTCGGTCTGGCGGTCCGGCTGCTGCTCCTCGACGATGGCCTTGGGTGCTGCCTTCAGAGCGGGCAGTTCACTGAGCAGCGTAGGATGCACCGGCGAGACATTCGACATGCGAACATCATAGCCGGCGGCAACGCCTGCCAGTACCGATCCCATATTGTACAGAAGCAGCTCGATCACGGAGAGCTTTGGCTTGCGGGCCGAGTCGCCGGCGTAGAGTGTCGGCAGCGGCACATTGCTGGTAAAGCGGCTGAGCAGATACGGCGATGGCGACATGATGGGCATATTGGCTGGTCCTGGGCGCCAGTCCTCCCTGCTGTTGCCCTGATAGCCTGTGTTGTGGCGGCGGGTATCCGAGTGCGGGCAGCGGCGTGAACAGTTGACGAAACAGTGTTGAGAAACGTGTGGCTAAACTGTTACTTGGAGTTTGGTGTTGGTAAGTAGCCGACTAGCTTTGGTCAACGGGTTGGGGAGAATGTGTTGTTGGATGGGTACGAGTGGTTGGGGGTGGGGCACCGCAGGCAAAAACCAACCTACACCGCATTTAGAATAGAAGAGCTAGGGACTGGGATCAGGCATTTTCAGCAATATAAAAAGTAGTATATTTTATCATTTTAATTGTTTTATTGTCAGTTTCGGTTTCAGTGTATTGTTCGAGTTGTTCTTGATTTTTTTATTTTTCTTTTTTTTTTAATATTATTATTATTATTATATCTTTCTTTTTTGTTTGGTTTGTGAAAATACACAAGTATACAAATTACATTAAAGTAAAACGTAAGAAAACAAACAAATAAACTAAGACAAACACAAAAAAAAAAAAAAAAAAAACAAGAATACTCTAGCCGCACAAGCTCGACTAGCAGATACCCTGTATTCAAGACAAAAAGAGTCACAACGCTGCCTCATCAGGCAAACAATTTTGTCGAACTCGCCTTTCATATATGTGAATGCAATCTGAGATTGGGCAGGAGATGGGCAGGAGATGCAGACAGACGTGCTACTTGTTTTGTTTTTGGAATGGATACAGGGTATTAATCCAAACTGAACTCTATAATTAAAAGCTTGCATACAATAATACATAAGATGTTTACATTCTTGATGTTTCGTTTCTCATCATTTTCATCACAGTTTTTTTTTTTTCCTTTTTTTTTTTTTTTTTGCTGTTTTCGTTTTGTTTTCTCTCAAATCAAATACTAAAAGTAGACAAAGGCCAATTGCAAATCAATGCATGTTAATAAAACTGCACAAACACACAAAACGAAAATCTACAAACCTTAAGGATGGGAAATGAACAGCGAAAAGAAGCTGAAATCGACTAAAACTGGCTAATTTCTTGACGAACTCAAAAAAAAAAAAAACAAAAAAATGCCATACGACTAAGGCTAAGCTGAACTAAGATGTTTGTAATGTTTCGCGTATGTATATAAATAGTTTATATATATATATTTATATTGTATATTTTAGATATGTTTAGAATAGACAATAGAAATTGTTCGCTTAAATGTGAAAAGTGTTTCATGAATACATCATCATTTTGTAGTATTGCTAACAATTCTTCGAATCTTAACTCCAACGTGTAAGCAGAGAACACACAAGCAATCCGTTTATATATATCAAAATATATATATATATATATATATATATATTATTTAAATGGACCTGAGCATATACGTATACACATTAAATAACTTGACTGGCTATTTTGTTTTCATTCAACAATTATACAGATCCCGTTTCGATTCTACCTTTCACCGGTCTGTCCCATATCTCAGAATTATCCATTTACGCTTAAGGTTTGACGTCTATTCAAACTGAGCTGAGTTAAGGCTTTCAAAATATTTCGCTTTCAATTCGCTGCACTCTTTTAAAGACAGCACATATTTAGTTTCCCAGAAGTCGTATTATATTCCAGACTAGATCTAATCTATTGCCAGTCTGGCAAGTTCTCTAGCTCATCATATCTCTGTCCTCTGGTATGTACATTTTTTTGAACTGTTCGCTTCAGATCTCTTCTTTGGCTTGTTACGCGAAATTTTTTCGATATCAATTTTTAGTTATTCGCATCAAAACCAACTCTTTAGCCCATAACCTCTGGAACTCATTTATCTGGAATCAATATACATATATTTTTAGCGTGATTGTAAGAAAAACGATTTCCAACGACTTTTCCATCAAGTTCGTTTTTCTAGCTGATTCGAGATGAAGTCAACCGTTTCGCTAAATGTAAAATAAAGTCGTGACGCAACTTTTTCAAGGTATTCGCATCGTATACTCTCTGACCGAGTCGAATAGCTAATTTTCGGAGTTGCTTTGAGCCCTGGCCGAAATCTTTGCTTACACATGGAGCAGTAAAAAGATCAAATGAACAAACGATAGTTCCTTGTTATTTGTTATTGTTATATGTATGCAAGTAGTTAGCAGCTAGTGCTTGTATGTGTGTGTGTGTGTGTGTGTGTGTGTGTGTGTGGGTGTGTGTGTGTGTGTGGGTGTGTGCATGATATGCCTTAATCTATGGTTTTAATATAAAACAATGGGCTTGTTGCTAGCAGCATACATACATACATACATACATACATACATATATATATATGTATGCATACATATGCACGTGTATTTGTATTATTATTGATGCAGGACTGCGACGATGCACGGCGTTGACCACAACAACCACCACAACAAGTAGAACTGTCAGATAGAGCCGATACACACACACACACACACACACACACACACACACACACACACACACACAGAGACAGAGACAGAGACACAGTCGTGACCACATGACAGACGCACATTCAGACACGCTCCAATTGCTCACAGGATTGCGTTTGGGGCTTTTTGCTTTTGCGCTTCGTGGATCGTCCCGTTGTGGACTTGCCCGTTGCCAGTTCCGTTTCATATGGATCAATGGCACAAAATTCGGCAGTGCTGCCGCTTCCGCTTCCGCTGCCAGTTGGGGCCATTTGATTATCGGACAGTTTTGTGTATTTCTTTTTGGATCCGCGCGTAAACAGATTCATTAGGGATCTGATTTTGATGCCACTCGTCGAGTGCTGCTGCGGCGGCGGCTGTTGCAACAACAGTTGGCTGCTCGACAGCGCTGTGGCTGGCGCCTCCACCGACTTGGATTTGGGCATGTACCTGAGTTTTTGCTTTTTCTTCGTATGCTTACTGTCCTGTCGCTGCTGCTCGGCCAGCAGATGCTTCTTCATCTTGATCACATCCGGATGCGGCTGGACATCGAGCATGCGTCGTGTGTGCAGTATACAGTTCTCATGGATGTGGCCGCCATTCTGTGCAGTTGTCGCTGCAGCAACATCTTTGTCCGCATTGTGAACGTCGTTATCGTTTTCGTTATCGCTGCCATTCAAATGATCGTTCCAGTCGTCATCGTTATCGTTGTCGCTGGAGCTGTAGTTGGTGCCAAAGCTAATGGATGCAATGGACGCCTGATGCTGGCTTTGCGCATCACCTGTCGCTGTAGGTATGGTATGCGGCGGCGGCGACTCAAATGTGGGCGAGTTCATTTGAAAGGTAACCGAACATTTGCGCGACGTCGAGCAATTGGGGCGCGTCTGGCTAACTGATGCTGAGGTGTCTACTGTTGAGGACGAATGCTCCGAGGAGCAATGTGAGTTAATATTGCGCTGCTCATCTTCCATTTCACGTTCTTGCTCCTGCTCGTCCTCATCCCTGTCACGGTCAAAGCTATTTGGTTGTTGCCGAAAAAAACAGTGACGCGGAAATTGCGAACCGGACGCATTCCGCTGAAAGCGACTCTCCAGCCCATCCTCCGAATCATCATAGTTGTAGTCAGCCCTTGGCTCGGTTAGGCGCGTGGCGGAGCTGTACATGGTGAGGTCACCACTCGATTTGGAATTCACACGATCGGTGCTGGCCAATATCTTCTTGGTCACATCCCGATAGAAGGCACGATCGTACGTATTATTATCGCCTCTCTCATGCGAGACGGGCACCAACGGCGACATTATCATCGCTGGCGTTGCGCCCGTCATCTGTGCAACGGGCTGCACAAATTGACTATCCAGCGAGAGTTTCTTGCGGCCTACAGCCGGACTGTTGCCCAGGCTGCCGCCATAGGAGGAGCCTCCTACAACGGGCGCCATTGCAACAGCGGATGCGCTTGATTTTAAGAAATGAAAACAGCCTGTTGTCGGCGTTAGGGTGTCCGTCTCGGAGCTATCGTCCGAGAGCAGATGCACAACATTGTTAGCACTATACGGCATATCCAGACCATAATCCTGGCTGCGGGCGCGACCATAAATGCTATTGGCAGGCTTTCGGTTTGCTACGTTGTGGTTGTTGTTGCTGTGATTGCCGTTCAATCGTGGCGAGGCGTTGGATGAAATTATGCTGTTGGTATTAGTTTTGTGGTTGTTGTTGTTGTTGTTATTAAAAATGTGATTACTATTGTTGTTGTTGTTGTTGTTGATGTTGTTGTTGTGGTTGTTGTTGTTGTTGTTGTTGTTGGTATGCAGTATTAAATATGGCATACCTGTGGCCACACCAGCGCCCACCGCACCCATGGCCGCCACACTGCCGCCCAAATACATGGGCGATGTGGGCGTTGAGCCACCAGCAATGCTGCCCACGTTGGAGCTGCCCAGCAGCTGAGAAGATTTTGTTGTTGCAGCTAACGCTGTCGCAGCAGTTCCAGCTGTCCCAGCGGCAGCCGCATTTAGCTGCTTCTTGTCCAGATTCGGTGCGCTCTTGCTGAATGATGAGTGCGTGGAGCTTTGTGCCGGCCACTCCGGCTGGCCGCCCAGCTGCGGTGGCAGCAGCGAGCGCTCGCGCTGGTGCATTGTCGATGGTCCCCAGGTTTTGTTTTTGTGCCCATCGGTGACTGTCCCGCGCGCCCAAACAAAAAAAAATAGAATAAAAAACAAAAACAAAGTAAACCAAAGCGGGCAGATCAAAGAATAGAAAGAAAAGAAGAACAAAAAAAAATATACAAATCAATAAATAATAAAATAATCAAAGCTGCGATTAATTAAAAAAAACTCTACAAATTTTCAATTTTCATGTGGAACGTGCGGAATTGAAACATCGAACATGTTCCATGTTCCTTTCGTATTAGTTAGCAGAGTTTAAATACTCTGTGTTGTTGTTATTCCGACCTTTTCGCTAACCGAAAAGAGATTTAGATGCTTAGTAATAAAATCTATGGTCAATTTCCCGCCATTGCGATTATAAAAACTGATTAAAATGCTCATTTGTTGTTTCATTCCAGTTCGTTTCAGTAATCTTCCCTAATATTGTTAAAAGACTAGCAGATCGAGTGATTCAGTTGAATTATCAGACTTCCAAAAACAACATTCTTTTAGCTGAAACTGGAATTGCAAACATACTGAAGCCTGACGCGGAATTGAATCAATTGTGCTCAAAACTGTGTACTCAACGACTATTTTGGACAAAGTTTTGTTCTACTCACGTGTCACAATACGCAATCTGGATAGGGAGGGCGAACCTGGCGGCTCGACTTTGTCGCAGACGGCCGTAATTGTGTGCCGGAACTCCGTTGGCAGTGATATCTGCAGTGCTTTCTGTGATAGATGGACGAATTATAATGAATAGAAAACGTCAGTTGTTATTTATTTGGTTTACCTTTTTACTCTTTTTGGGCTTCCGCTTTGATGGCACCGGCACAGGTACTGAGACTGGCTGCATCATTAGCTCGCGTCCGAGTATATTGATTTCGCGCTGACGCAACTGCTCCTCGAGCTCATGTAGCTTATTGGCCTTCTCCAGCTGCTTCTTTTGCATGAGTACCAGCTGCTCCTCCTTGTTGCGCAGTTCCTATTGGACGAGAAAACGGAAAAACTGACTGACATTGGGAATTTTTAGTGCAGGGTAGCTCAGTGTATCCAACTGATTGTCTGGCAAATGGCAAGTCATGCAATTATTGTGCCGGTTGTTGGCATACGGAGAGGGGTGCCGGGTGCGGTTGGTCCGGGGGTAGGGGGGGAAAAAAAAAACTCAAAGCACACAAAACTCGAATAGCAATGACCAAAATAACATTAACAGAAACGAAGCAAATTGAATTAAAATGGAACAAAATCGAGCGATAAAAATGTTTTTCCCTTTTTTGGAACATGGCGCGCTTACCTCTTCGATGGTTTGAAAACGCTTAACATGGTTTGAAGTTGGGTAACAAATATTGACGGAAAAGTTGATAGAAAAGAAGCGGTAAATCAAATGATTAGACAATTTTGTTTTTTTTGTGAGAGCTAAATAGATATTTAAATGTAGAGATACAAAACTAAAGATAAAGGGAGAGAGCGAAAGTTTCCTATTGAGGCGCTAACAGAGAATAGACGACGACATTTTTGCATAGGCAATATTTAAAATTGGGATTGCATTGTGAACGGATACCTTCTCTTTTTCGCGCAGATCGTGCAGCACCTCGGCGATCTCTTTTTTCCACAGTTCCTGCAGATGGTGAAAGGATTCCTGCGGCGTTAGCGTAAACTTGGAGCACGCGCTACTCTCCAGCTGTTCAATAATCTTCTTAAAGTCGGGCCGTCTATGCGGATCGCTTTCCCAGCAGCCTGCAATGGGTAGTAAACGTTAATATTTTGATTTACATATTTCGTATACGTAGACACTAATATTTCACTAACTTTTCATTAAAGCACCCCAGGTTTCGGGGCAGGTTTTTGGTATCGGCAGCGTTAGTGTATTCACAGCGACGCCATACGCAACGGAGAGCGGGTCGAAACCTTTGTAGGGTGTCTCGCCTGTGATCAGCTCCCAGAGGAGCACGCCATAGCTCCACACATCCGATGATCTGTGGATACAATTATTTGCATACAACTTAATTTTGTTAATATTGTGCCCACATACTTGGAGTACATGCTTCGACTAATGACCTCGGGCGGCATCCAGGCATAGGTGCCAGCAGCGCTCATGCACTGTGTGTTGTACATTTCGCGGGCGAGGCCAAAGTCGGTTATTTTGAGCGTTTTATGATGCAACTGGCTTCCCTCGATGGCCTCATAGATGAGCACATTGGAGGACTTAAGGTCGCGATGTATAATAGACATGGGCGCCTCGCTGTGTAAATAGTTCATGCCGCGAGCAATTTGTATGGCCCAATCGACGAGAACATCAGGCGGTATTTTGCCAGCGAGTATGCGATTCAGGCTGCCGCCTCGTGCATACTCCATGACAAGACACAGTTTGGTCTTCAAACAGACACCGCGCAGTGCCGCGATATTACGATGTTTAAGTGGCCAGAATAGTTTGGCCTCCTGCAGGACATTGTCACGCATGCGCTGCATATCATCTTCGCCAGTTTGATGGGCTATCTTAATGGCAACCTCCTCGTTATCATAAAAGCCGCGATGCACTTTGCAAAAGCCACCAGATCCAATCACCTCCTTAATATCCAGCTCTGAGTAGTCGATTTCATGCGGCAACTCCAACGGATCCGCGTCTGTTACAAAGTTGCGGGGAAAAACACCCACCTGGCAATGTTTAAAGACTTAGAGACTGACTTATGTTCCTTTACCGATCAATAATAACTTTACCTTATCACCGATCTTGCCCGTCCACCAGCCCACATCGCCAGACACTTCACTGTCCGTGGAGAGGACTACAACGATTTGTCCCCGTCGCAGTGTCAGCTCATCCTCGCCCTGTGCATCGTAGTCGTACAGTGCCGTCCACAAGCTAGCATCAGCGCCCAGTGCCGACTCCTCAACACCAAGACCGTTCGCTGCCGCTGCGGCAGCTTCATCTGAGGTCTCGGCATGTGGCTGATTGCTGCTGTTATCAACGTGCTGCTCCTCGCTAATAGGGAGCATGGCCAGTGCTGCTGCTCCTTTTTGTGCTGCTGCTAAACGATTTGCCGTCGCCTGATCTCGGCCAGCATCAAAAGCTTAAACATGGACGCGCGTTTCTTTAAAGAAACTCGAGCCCGTTCAACTGCAATGACGCAAAATCTTGATAAGCAGAAGAAAAGAAAAAAAAATACAATAACACGAAGGCAGGCAATGTCGCGCTGCACTTTCCCCCCATCCCCCGTCGCAAACGACCATCACCACACCCACTTGGCAGCATGCGCGCGTTTTGTTACTTACACAGGTCTGTTTTGCCGATTTGGCTGCACAGATTTCACTCCTTTAGCTGCTGCTGGTGTTGCACTTGTCCCACCCGCCCCCTCAGCCAAAAGCACGCACGCACTGCGCACACAATAGAAAACAATCAGAGACAACACACATACACGCACAGAAGTACACGGGATGCTACTGAACTGGAAGGGGCAATGGCGCAGCTTAATGTATTGGGGCTTTATTCGAGCTGGAATCAGCTCTCTGATGACATCAAAATATTTGGATAACTTCAAACTTATTTCAAATAATTTGCGTCTATTTTTTTTTTTTTGTTTTTTTTTTTTTTCTTTCGTTTTTATCGTTTGCGTGCGTGAGTGTATGTGAGTCTTTATGTCTGCAGTTTGTTGCTCGTTAGCTGTTTCGTTAAGTTATATCGTTCTGGAGTTGCAAGGCTCTTGTCTCAATTTCTTCTGGTTAGCTTTAGCACTTTAGCAATGTATTGATTTCTGCTTTCGTATATGTTTCTTAAACATAAAAAAAAACTTATGTTGAGAAAAACTTGCAGATAGAAATATATCGACGGGCGATAGAAGGCCGACACACAACGAGCAATTATGGTGGTTGGCCGATATATTGGCATACTAAAAATACTAGCGCTGTTTTGAATTAACAGACTTTTAGGTCATTTTTGCGTTTACTGTTAACGCATAAAAATAAAATGAGAATACAGTGCTACCGTACATTTTTGGAACAATAACATATGTAACATATGTGGTAGCTTGGGTTCACAGCCTTATAGAAGTAAATCAACGCATGTTGTTATATAGATTTTCGATTCGCATCAAACTCATTAACCATTTGTTAATCAGTATGAAAACCCTTCGATTTTAGGTAATAGCTGGTCACAATAATATATTTATATGCTAATCAAATTTATTGTAAGACTATATTTCGATTTGTAAATTATATTATATATTTCTAGATTCGATGAAAAGTAAAGAAAACGAATTTTGTAACATTTTGATAGTTCAATATTTTCTGCAAATAAACTTTTAAATTATTGGGTCGAGCTTCTTCCCTTATTCAGTTGCCTGCCGCAATTGTTAAGGTCTGGCAACTCTTCACTTAACAGATTGTCTGGCAACACCACGAAAAACGCAACATTGCTCAACAGTCGCGTTCAATAAAAATGCGGCATTACGAATTTTGTTTAAAATTAATAGCAAAAAGGAAATTAAAAATGTAACTCATTGGCTAAAGGATTGGTACTAAGCCAGGTGTAGTCGAGCAGCTGCTATTTGCTCGGCAATCTCGGCAATACCGCACGCGCGCTCGTTCTCTCTTGCCTCTCGCTCTCTCTCTCGCGCATCATTGCTGTAGTTGACTTGCCAACGGCTCGGCTGGTCCAGCAGCCCGCTGCGTCGGCATTAGCATTAGCATCCTCGACTGCTGCTGCCGCATTGGCAGCTGAGCCAAAGTCCGTTAACCAGAAAACAGAAACAGAAACAGAATCGGAGCCAGCGCCAGTGCACGGGCCACGGCAACGGCTGCTGTACACATAATTCGCAACGCTCAGTTCAGTTACGCGCAAGATTTCAACATAAACTGTAGCATACTTTAGAGCCACGGACGGCGGTAAAAGCGGGCGTGCGCAGCAAAAACTGCACGGCAAAAATCCCAATCAGTAACAGAAACGGAAACGGAAACTTCTTGTCTGAGTTGGCTCTGCTATTTAAATAATTGTCAGCCGCTTAAATTCTTTTTACTGCCGCAGCTGCTCAAATCAATTTATGCGTCTTTGCACATTTTCTCCGGCCGTTTTAGTTCGCACACTTTGCCAGGGCATACCACAATAAATTGCACAAAATTTTGCTAAATTTGCCACGCTTTTTTCCAATATATTTTTTTTTGGTTTTTTGTTTTGTGTTAAACGCGTTGCCGTCGCAGCCGCCGCCACTCGAATTTTTTCTCACTGCGTGCGTGCGTGCGTGTGTGTGTCCGTGTCCGTGTGTGTGTGTGTGTGTACGCGTATACGAGAACGTGTTAGAATATTTTTTTTTTTTTTTGGCTCATGGTATGCCAAACAATCGTCGTATGCCAAACAAAAGCCATGCCCATTCAAATGTAAAGTTAAATAAGCACAAAAATCGCCACAGATAAATTTTGAATAATACAAATTAAGATGAAATAAAACGCACAACTCGCAAGAGAATACGAATAGCGCTTAAAGCTAAATCTGCAGCCAGCCAGCCTTAGTCTAAGTCGATGGAGAAGACGAAGACGAAGACGAAGAAGCCAAATATCAAAACGAAACGCACAAATCTAACGAAACCAAACGAAACGTAACGTTTAATTTGAAAAAAAAAAAAAAAACAAAAACAAAACAAAACAAAACCAAAAACAAAGCAACCAACTTGCCTAGCGAAAGCAGCACAAAATTGTAGCGTAAACAAATTTATTCACATGTATATTAATATATTTGTTAATTGTGGTTTACTTTATGTTTAGCATGCAACATTTTTGTTTTAACTTATGCATTTTCTATCTATTTTTGTTTTGCATATGATTTTAGTTTTGGCGATCGTGCTGCATGTTTTAATCTTGTTTTATTTTTTTTTTTATAATGTTTTATATTTTAGTGTGTGTGTTTTTCTGCGCTTAATAAATTTGCAAAATAAAATACAGCAGCAGCGTCCATGTGTGTGTGTGTGTGTGTGTGTGTGTGTGTGTGTACGTGCGTGTGCACACACATAAATCCACACAAATAGCTGTTGCCTGGCCTATAAAATGGCTGCCGTAATAGCAGCGACGTCGACGCTGGCAGCGTGGTAAGCAGCGCGCAAGAAGTTGAGGTTATGTCTGCGCCACAAAACGTGCTTGGGCTTGCCGCTGCCCTTGGCATAAAATTCTGCTGCTGCTGCTGCTGTTGCGACTGCGACTGCGACTGAGGCTGCGGCTGCTTAGCCCTTCTTAGTCGGGCGTGCCAGCAGATGACAGTAATGAAAGTAAGCAAAATGCGCTGCCAACGCCGTCGCTGCAGCAGCATCCTTTAACATAACGGCGCTGCTGTCTCCATGAGGTTGCCTCTGCCTGTTTCTCTCTCTCTCTCTCTCTCTCTCTCTTTCTGTGTGTGTGTGTGTGCTTTGGGTGGCATGTCCTTGTTAGCAGGCACACACTTGCACAGTTTTGGGCTCCGTAAATGACCTAGCCCTATTTCTGGGCTTGAGGCCGTTTCCGCTGAGAGTCAACTGCTTGGCCCTCAGTTGCTGCGCAGCAGCTGCGCTAGCGACGGCAGCGACTGTGACATTTTCTTTTGATTTCTGCTCCAAAGATGCGGTCGCTGAACGTTTCTAGACCAATTTTTGTCCCTGTGTGTGTGTGTGTGTGTGTGTTTGTGTGTGTTTTTTTTATTGCTTCCACTGCACATTTCACGAACGTTTTTCGTTTGCCACCGCATTGCCGAAAAAAAAAGTGTTGCATACCCTGCAGGCTGACAGGTTGACAGGCACTCGAGACCCGGACAAGCGGAACACTAGACAATCGAGACAATTATGGGGCACACTTTTTTTCTCTTCTTAGCGCTTAGACAGCCCCGAATTTAGATTTTATCTTAAAAAAAAAAACCGAATGCTAAACGCACAAAATGCAGTTACGATGAAGTTAATATTGGAGAATTGGAATTTTGTTATGAAAAATAATTAATTTGTTATCTTTTGGCTTAACGTCATTTATGATTTAACACTTTGTTTTCACTTGCAACGCTTGAGAGATTCCATCCAAATGAATAAATAGGCAAAGCACTTGCATACATTCATTGAGATTCATTAACATTCACATGAAAAGCATTTAAATATTACTTAGAAACTACAAATTGCTCGACATTTAATTTGTAAGCTACAATTTTCTAGGAATAGATTCTTTGGCCATTCCAGGAAAAACCAATAAAACAGAGTGTTTGAGTGTTTGTTTGGCTTCCGAAAAGTGAAATATTATTTACAAAATTTGCTTCAATTATCTCACAGCATTTGACTTATTTTGTAGAAACGCACAGGCGGACAGATAGATAGACAGACAGACAGACGGATTCGACTGTTGCATACATTTGCACAAAACCAATATACCCTTGGCCGAATGGTGTTAAAGGGGTATACGGTTTTTGTGCAAATGTTTGTTACAGCCGCAAGGGAGGCATCTCCGACCTTGTTCAGCATCAACAGTCGAGTCTGTCTGCGTCCTTGTCCGCATGTATGAATGCGCAGATCTGAGAGACTGCAAGAGCTCACATCGAAGATTTGTCTTGTGAACAATGCCTGAAGCCCTTAACTCGCGTAGGCAGGGTATATTAGTTCTTGAATATCTTTCATTTATTGAAGAAATGAAAGTTGCCTGCAGGATATCTTTTGCGTGTCCATCTTTATTTGTTTCCATTTTCGTAAATATTTGTATTTTAAGCTCTTGGCATTTTTCAACGCTTCTCAAGTATGTTTTTCGCTCAAAGTTACTCAAAGTTGCTCAACATTTGCTTTAAACTTTCAGCAACGCTCCGCCCCGAAACAAAGAAAAGAATAAAAGCGCCAGGAGCCGCTACAACTAATTCACATAAGCGAAAACGTAGAATTTATATAAAAAAAAAAAAAAAAATAACAATAATGCAAGCACATACAAAATAGGCAAAATTAGCCGAATAATGATATAGCTGAGCAGCATTTGGAGTGGAAAAATGTTTACAACAATAGCAACAATCGGAGCTAAAACCAGTTGATTGCGCCTGTTGGTGGTCAGCAAAGGATTCGAGGAACGTCGTCGCGCTGCGTCGCAATGCAAGCGAACAGCAGCCGATCCACGTTAAGCGCACAATCCTCGGGCACTCCGTCGGCCTCCACCATATCCTCGTCGCAGGGCAAGGTAAGTAAGACACATTGATACTGACTGAATAGCATGTTGGGCTGCTTAACAGACACTCCTGGTGCGGATCTCTTGCACAGTTGCACACAAAGAACACGCACACATTCACACAAATAAACGGCAACTGGGCGCCTCATTATGTGCGCCATATTGGCAGACCGGCAAATGGCAAGGCAACAACAATGGCGCCCCCTCCCTCCCTCACACACACACACACACACACACACACACGCGCTCTCCAAGGAGCTGGCCAAATCAAATCGAGGAGGTGCGCTTCAAGGCGCGGCAAGGCAAGGCAAGGCGAGATTTGATTTTGGTTTTGGTATTTGGCTTCGGGGCCCTAAGTGCCTACTCCGTACGGGTTGCCAGGCCGATTCAAGTGTCCTTTGTGTTGTGTGCGTACGCTGCGTGGGGGCCCTCAAGTATGCAAGCGTTGGCAACAGTCCCAAAAGCACCTTCGACGGCCAAGCACTTCACGCATATTGTCGTTTATCAAATGGCCAAGAACTCGCCAAAACTGGCCAAATTAATTATCCATGCAAAAACTATGCCACATGCTTGTTACAAAATATTTCTGATGCTTCCTTCAATTGAAGAAGTTTTTGTGCTTACGAGCAGCAATTCTTTTGGATATCTCGAAAAAAACGACATGTGTTTGGGTCATGCGGGACGTAAATGTCCTCTAACAAGTTCTCAAATTTCTTGTAGCATGATTTTATCGGCCATCCTAGCCTCTAGCTAATCGAGAGCGTTTTTTTTCTTCTCAAATTAAGCCCTGATTAGCTTTACTGCGCTGCTATTTGAAGAATTGATCGAAGTCGATGTAGGGTCTTGCAGCTTCGGTGCGCCGAAAATATTCGTTTCTGCTTGTTTTATTTGTTTAATTTCAATACCGTCTAGACGGTCTTGTTTATCGACCCAATCTAGCCATATTCTGTTGTCTATACGTTTGTATTGTAAAAGGCCGAGCTTGGGTTACACATGCCGCACTTTGACTTTTTTGTTTGTCCTTTATTTTGTTTTGTGGCAATAATAGACTCTATTCATACGCCGAACCCATTGCAAATGAGCATAAAGCTATAATGTTGTTGTCCAAATGTGTTTACAAGGCAGAAGGAAGCCTTCCAATGGGTACAATTAGCTGCATCGAAACGATCTCTCCTTGAGCCTGGATCCAACGACTTGATATTCTAAAAATGATAAGAGCTGTTCACAAGCATAACAGGGAAATGTGTTTGCAAATGATTTGCTGGTGGTTTTTGCTCTGGCAAGCGACTAGATTGCTCTTCAAGTTGGCTCAGTTCAGGTTGTCTTCCAGTCGAGCACACGGCCTTGATTATTACTAGCTGTTACAGCTGCAAATAGAATAGTTACTATTTTTGGCATTGTTTTATTTACTTAAATATATGCTGGAAATAACACACAATTGGACTATTGTACGGTTGAAAGGGCGCCATTTAACAGTGTCACATTCTGATTGGATGTGGCCAACAAAAGTTTTGAATGCTTATTTCGAGCTCTTTTCTCCTGTGTCTGAGTTTCACATATCCATTTGACTTTAATATGCATACTTTGATATTCCAATGAAACGTACAAGTTTCATAATATGATTAAATACTGAGAATTCAATGTTTGTGTTTGGCTTAGCTGGCTCAAATTACCTGAAAAGGGGTTGGTAATTAAATGACTCGTACACGTGCGCCAAAAACCCGATGCCAAATTAAAAGACTAGCTCCCTCTGCCACATATCGATAGCCAGACATGCACACATGCACACACACTCGGCCAGCTCCAAAGAATCTTTTATACTCAAATATCCGAATTGGCCAATAAATTGTGTATTTGGCTATGAAGCCAACGGCTGATGGGTTTGTCAGCTCAGTGTATTAATTAGATGATGTTGCTATTATTTGAGTTTACAATGCGCTTTAATTATTTGCCTGTCGGCTGTTAAAACTATTTCAAAGTTTGTCTGCGAGCACACACACACACACACACACACACACACACATGCTTAGTTTTCTTTGTGTTGTCGCATTTAAGAACACAAAATGCAATCGAAATCTGATCAGATTCAGTGCTGCAGTTCAGCTTTTGCTAATTGGAATATTTTGTTAGTTGTGCAACCGCCTTCGGTTATGCTATGATAATAATTTACCCTCCCTCACCCCCTCCAGCCAAACAGCCAAACAGCCAAACAGACGAAATTCGGTTAATGAACAGCGCATTGTTTTCAATTTCATGAAATGGCATAGTTCTAAGCCCTAATGCAGCAGTTGTGCATGGTTTGGGGCGGGGCAGGGGTTCGGGCTTGTGAGCGGCTCTGCTTGGTTAAAGGGGATGGAGGATGGAGGATGGAGGGTGGAGAGTTTGTGGTGTTGGCGTCTTATGCGTTGTTACAAAAATCTCTCGATTTTCTGTCGCTTGCAACGCAGCGATTTTTACGCGTTGCGTTCTGTTGCTATCGCTTTTAATTAAACATTGCCGTTTTTGTGAGACATGCACTTAATATACACGCACACACACACACACGCCAGCGAGCACATAAACCCGCACACACACAGACACACACAGAGCTGTTCCCTTTTGGCTGTAAGCTGAACAACAACAAGAACATTTCAACACAGTCAGCTGCCTACAATGCCTGTGTATAGAGCCTGCTGGCGCAGGCGAGAGGAGAGTAGAGGAGAGCGACAATGAGATTGAGAGTGAGAGTGAGAGTGAGAGTGAGAGGAGAGTGAGAGTGAGAGCGTGGGAGTGGCATGGAGAACTGAAGGGCACTGCCAAGTGCTAAGCAGGCATATTTTGGGTAAGAGGGCGCGGGCGGGCAATGGGTGGTTGCTTTGGTAAGCTTTCGTTGGCAGCTGCTGCTTTTGGCCTTGCCCGTCACAATTTGAAGTCGAGTTGACGACGTCGTTGTCGCTGCTCGTCTGCGTGTGCGTGCGTGTGTGTGCTGGCAGGCTTTATGTGTGTTGGGTGTTGGGTGATGGGTGTTGGGTGTGCGTGAGCGAGCGTGTGAATAAGTCATAAAAAGCCAGTAAAAATCTCCGTTTGTCATTACATATTGTCATCATCAGCAGCGCCTACAAACACAGAGACACACACACACACACACACACACACACACACGTCCGCATCACTTGACGCTGCAGCATCAAAAAAGTAGGCAACACTTTTTTGTTTCTTTTGCTTGCCAGCTGCAATGCGTTTTTCAGCTGTCGGAGAGAGACAAGAGCAACAGCCAGCAGCAAAGAGAGTGTGTTGGCTGGCTAGAGTCCTGGCAGGTAGGGGGGTGCGGGGAGTGGGGAGTGGGGAGTGGGGCAGGGGTAACAGTTCGGCTTATAGCTGTACTGTGAGCGTTCTTGCCAGGCGTATGCAAATGCGCTTAGTTGTTATTGTTTGCTACTTAAATGCAAATTGCATTCCGATGGCAAATGCTGCGTTTGTCCTTATTTTTTTTTTTTTTTTCGTTTTGTTTTCTCGTTCGTTTCCTGGCAGAGACCTTCATAATTATGCGAAGAAATGTGCAACAGCAGCAGCAAAAATAAAACTGCTTACTTTACACAACGAGCAGACATAGAATTTTCATCGGTTTTCGATCGAACCAGCTCACAATTTTCCCCCATATACATATATTGACATTCTTCCTCAAATTTGTTTGACTTACATTTGCTATGTTTACTTCATTTCGACTCGACTCCAAATGTATCAAGTGTTCAAACCTTAAACGATTTTTTCGTTACAAAATCATTTGCAAAAATGTACATACAAATGTTGTCATACCACACATACCGATGCACATTCAAGCAAATAGTGTAATTTGTCAGCAGATGGAATAAATTCTATTGAACTGAAATGTAATTTCTGTCTATTTCCGAATGAAATATATTATTTTCAAATACTTCAAGAATTAGTAGACTTTCACAAAAGTTCAACATTTAACTTAAACTTTCACAATTCTCGAAAAAGAAAACGTGCAAAAAAGGCAACTGACTTGTGCCCAAGCCTTTGGCAACCACATAAATTCCACTTAAGTCTCAGCTTATTGTGTTCATTTACATATTTCCTACAGGAATATTCAATAAGTTATACCCGAACTCATATAATAACAAGTAAGAGTTCCTAGTCGGGTCTCCCGAATACTGACTCGGCTATAGATGCTGATCAAGAATATATATACTTTATGGGGTCGGAGATGCTTCCTTCTGCCTGTTACATACATTTGCATTTCGCACAACTACAATATACCCTTATACCCATTTTTAATGGGTTCAGGGTATAAAAATAACCAATTCTGTAAGATTTTCCCTTTCTTTCAACGGTTTTTAAAGTTTAGCAATTTGTTCTAATGTTGAGTCATATAAATTTACAATGATTATATAAGTCGATTTGAGAGATCGATTGGATGAGACCTTCGCAATCTCCTCCGCATTCGGACTCCTCCAATTCTACGTCTTTTTAGAAGGCGCCTAGCTAGATGATTTAGATGATTTCCAAGCCCCGTAATATAGTTTGGCACCTAGCTAGTCACCAAACATGACATGTAGCTCCTAGAGTATATAAATATTAAATATCTTTCATTTATAGCTATCACCACCCACCCGCTACTACCTCATAGTTATAAATCAAGTAAATGAACAAATTTAGTTTGCCCATCAATATAAACCACAATTTGCAGGCAATTGCCTTTTTTTGAACACACAAATATTCTATAGCACAATATGATGTATTATTAAGATCGGTTAAGAAATACAAAAGCTATTCAAGAAAATGTGTTTTGGCAGCAAGCGCAAATTCCAAGAATTTCTGTATACATGTACACACACGCACACACACGTACACACACGCACACATTCATGTGCGCCTTCTTGGAATTCTATAAAAAGCATTGCAATTGCAATTGAATTGTTTTGAATTCATTTTTCTCTAATTAAGACTCTATTTTTGTTGTGCTTGTTGAGTAGAGGCGGCGAGTTCGAACCCCCTACCGAGGAAACTAT